CAGCCACTATCTTTAAGATTTCGGGTCGTTCCGAGGACGAACCTCATTTTCTGTGAAACACGAATCTTTTAGATCACGGCGAGACGAAGAAACTTCGCAAAGCTCAGAGTTTAAAAATCTAACTATAAGACGTAGTTAATTACATATTAAGGAAAAATAGAAAAGTTAACCAGTAAGATTTGAAATTGTTCAAATTCTAGCGAAGAATGCTTTTTGGAAACGTTTGAATCCGAGTTTTACAGGAATTGAATGTTTAAGACAAAATCTAATAAATGAGGCCAAATAGGAAATTTTAAAAGGTTTACAAACTTATGGTTATCTTCTAAAAATAATCACTAAGTACTTCCCAGCACCAATTTCTAGTAGCCGACAATATTACTAGAGGTAAAATATGATTTACTAATGATTTTCAGAATATGATCAGATTGAGAATTTCTATAAAAACACTAGGTACGGGCCCAACACCCGTACTAGGCCCATAACTTTTTGAGCCTAAGTCTGACACCCTAGTGTAAAAGACCAATGTAGACATGTTGTAGATTAATGGGCCTTAATACAATTTTGGGCCAAATCTAAGAAATAATATGAAATGGTAACTTAGACATAAACTATGGTTTAGTTCACTAATTTAAAAGATTAAGTTATCAACCTAGGACCGATTAGCAAAGACAATTAAGGAAAATTATATGATGAGGATGTATTAAAATAATTCTTGTAATATGTAAGAAGTCAAATTATCCTTATTTAAAAATGAAATATTTTCTAAGTATAAGAATAAATTCCTAAATAGACTGAGCTAAATAGACTAGCTTATAATAAGTCAAACTCACACTCTCAGTGGGTTTTCTTTACAGAATACAGCAGTAAAGGTTAACCTCGGCGAGTAATATAGTCTCGACCTTGGCTGATAGCAGGTAAGTGGGTATCTCGCCTACAATACGAATAAGTTTAGAAACAGAATGTTATACAAGTTTTATGTACATGTTTATGCTTAAAGCTATAGTATGGTATGTCATGACATATTGCATGCTCACTATTAAAATCTATATGACTAATAAGAACATTTAAGAGTGTCGTACCAACTTTTTGACCTACGGAAAGGATTTAAGGCCTGAAGAGATAATCATTCAGTGCTTGAGGAGGTAAAATAGGGTCACGGTGTAGTCAGGCACCTTGCAAACCCTCTCTACCCGCTGATCGTGTGCACATCCCGGTACATACACTCGGGCCTAAAGGAATAATAAATCAAGTTCATAAAAGAGCATAATTGGTACACACATTACCGATATACTTTAAGTACTATGTTTTTAATTAGTGCGACTTAGTACCTACTTACTAGGTATAAACTCACCACAAAGATGTATTTATACTGTAGGAAAACAACTAATGAAAGGTGAATGATGGATTGTGCGCAACGGCAGGCGAGTAGTGTGGAGAATGGAAAATGGATACCGCTCGCATTTTAATTCCGCAATATGTTTTGTTATGATAAGACTTTTTAATTGTATGTATGCAATTTGGTTTTATGAAGATTGAGACTTTTTATATAATTTAAAAATTAATATATGTTAATTTAATATTAAAGTTAAGTTTATTTTCCTTTATTATATGGTATATAAAAAAAATTGCAAATTTCAGTTTAATTAATTAAAGTATTTAAGCGATTACATGTTTGTGAGTTTAAAAGACGGCTACTTAGTTAGAGTCGTCACACGGAATGAGGCGCACATTACACCTTTTAAGTATTGTATAGATAATCAAAGACACAAAACATTTAACCGCAAATAGAGTTTTTAGCTTTTACTTTTCAAAGCACAAAAATTTGAAGCCAAAAATAATATAAAGAGTGTTGGGTGTCTGCTCGGCTCCGTACGCCGAGAACTGTTTGGGAGGATACCTCTGAGAATCGACCACTGATGCTCCGTTCCCTCTAAAGTCGCCGAGCATGATACCACCACCTTTCTTTTTGCTTCGCAACCTCTATACCTAAACACTTGACGTCAAGTACTGCCCAGTGAACAATCTCCCCGCCGAGCACTCTTGGCATTTGAGAATTCATACCATGTTCCTAGTCATCCATACAAGGGTGATTCTCATTGTTAGATTGGTCAAGTACGGTAGTCATCGATTCGCGACACATGTCTATATGTCTAACAAGCATATACAATCGTACCGGCGGACCTCCGGAGGACGATGGGTAAGACCCGGATCTGGCAAGCAACTATAAATATCCCTTAAAGTTAATTTATAAGGTACGAACATTTCTCCATACCTACTCATTGTCTTTTCATTTATTGCTCTCAAGCACGACACTGATTTGAGCGTCGGAGGGTATTTGGCCGGCACCGCATTGGTGTCCCAACTGATCCGGAGCCTTACCTGTCTCCCATGCAGGATAATCAAGTTAGCATATCGGGAAGCGGAGCAACCGTCTAGGAGACCCAACTAAGTAGAGCCTAGTTAGGTAGGACAGTCCGACCACTGTGCGCAGCCACAGATGGGTGTTGAGTCAGCAAAGACATTAACATAGAGAATTTGTCTTTTTCCCTATGTCATAACAACTTTTTTTTCTTGTGTCCTAATAACCTTTTTCGTTTACCCCTTCTACCTACTTATTATTACTTTCCAGAAAAAGACTGGAAAAATGATTAAAATTTCTTTAGACCAAGGCAAGAAAGAGACGTACTAGTAAAACTCTGGATGCTTTGAAAGAAAGAGATAGGTCCACTTTAGACCAAACTAATTGTCCTTTGATACAAAAAGAGAACGTCTTGGTTTAGAGAGCTATTAGGAGGTGCATGACTTGAAAGAATTGCGTGCTTGTGGTAATTACTAAAAAGCATCCTATGAAAATGAAGAGGCGGAGTTCTATATTATACATACAATTGTTTTCTATAATTTGACTCAATTTTATTGTCATATGACCATACTCAATTTTATTTTCATATGACCATACACTTTGATTGAGCTCCCCTGTAAAATATTATAGATCAAACTATCTTTCAATTATGTCATGTTCATTTCACCGATTCGAGTTTAAAATTTGAGTTTTTATGCAGTAAAAAGCTCTCAGAAACAGTCACATCTAACTTTTTTGCTACAATAAAAAGCTTTCATATATAGTCACATCTCAACTCGAATCAACGAACTGAACGGGTCTTTAATCATTTAGAATGCCTTATTTTACCTTTTAGGGAAACGATGAGCAAGATCTTAAAGGATTCTATTGCTACATTGGCTTCTTCGTTTTCGTTATTGGTTGAAACAAGCAAACAAGAATATACTTCTAACCAAAACAAAAACGAGCAAGAATACTTTCTATTAGGAAAGTTGACATTTTGTATACAATTGTCTTTATTAGTTGTTTTAACTCCAACATAACCATATTTAAATATTGTAAAATTTCTCATCAACAAAAATAATTTCAATATTTGGTTCATGGATTAGAATCATGTAATTAGAACTATTTTCGATTTACGTGTATTTTTTGTAAGAGAAAATACTGTAACGAACCATGAACCATGATTCAAATTATATTTTGAATCTTCCAACCAAACATAATAGGTACACTTACGTATTTTAAGCATGTTATAACAACAAACGCTTTACTATTTTTAAACCTATTATAATAACAAACGCTTTACTATTTTTAAGCCTATTATAACAACAAATAGAAATTATGTTAATAATTTATTTAAGAATATATATTTTATGTGTGCATTTTGATCGATTTGGTCGGTTCCAAAACCCAAACTAACTAAAAGAAATTAGGCTTTTTCCATGGTGAAATTCTCTTAAAAAATCACCGATAAAATATTTTATTTTGACCGTTAAATTACTTTTTTAACAGTAAAACACCATGTTTTGACTGTTGAAAAAGTAATTTAACGGTCAGATCTGCAGAGAGAGTAATTTTATGTAGCATATTGTAAATTTTTAATACGCACTTGCGTAAATCTAATTGTTAAATACTTAATATAATAGTTAAAATAAGGTGTTTCACCAGAAGTCCACCACAGAGGCTCCCAAGAAATTGATAGCAGGCACATATTCTATATAATTGATTTCATTTCATTTCATTTGAATCAGTAGATCGGTATTTACTGTTTTCTATTTTTCATTTAATATCCCATCCACCACCCCATTCCACAACAATGTGTACAATAAAAGGTGAATCATTAAATATAATTTTTAAAGTTTTCATATTTTTCATAATTTGAATGTATGATTTTAATGCAACCCCATCATAATTTTATGTCCTGTTACAGAAGGAAAAAAAAAAAGAAGAAAAGAATAATGTTAGGGACACTAATTTAAATTTAAACTTTTATATGTTAACTGACATAGTATATAACTTATTATTTTTATATTAATAGTTGTTTAAAATATTATCACGTCAATTAATGATATAATAAAAAGTGAATCATTAAATTAAATTTTTAAAATTTTTATATTTTTCATAATTTGCATGTATGATTTTAATGCAACGTCGTCGTATTTTTATGACCTGTTATAAAAAAAAATAATAAAATAATAAAATATTAATTTAAATCTCAATTTTTATGTACTAATTAATATAATATATAAATTATTATTTTTATATTAATAATTATTTAAAATATTATTACGTTAATTAATAATAAAAAATTATATTTATTAATAATAACGTAACAATTCACGTATCTATACAAAAATTAATATTTGAGTTGTCTGTTTTAGAAGGGAGGGAGGGACGATGGAGGAACCAAAGTGGGCCCTCCTAAAGATGCACCCTCTTTTCATACGAGTCATGTCTTCTTTTGGAGTCTTAAAAGGCAAACATATTATTCGATATAAGAAATTATAGTGGACAAAATTTCCAGATATTTCTCTGGGATTTCACACCTACACCCAGCTAGCCACGAGCTCGCCACGCTCCCAACTGCCAGAATTAGTCTTGACCCTCCACGTGTTAACCCATCCAATGGTCCTTCTAGTACCTTTCTCTTCCAATCTCTATCCTCTCCTCCACACCACATACAGTTCCACTTTTCCCCTCTTTATTACCACCATTTCCTCTCCTCCTCCCCAGCTCTGTTCTTCAACTCTCTCTCTCTCTCTCTCTCCTCTGAAACCTCTGTTTCTCTCTCTACAGAACCATGCTTCTCAAGGCTTCTCCCGCTTCTTCTCTCCTCGGCACTCGCGGGGAGACTCTGCTTCCCCTGAACTCTCCCAACTCTCTGTTCTCGACTCTCCGGTTCTCTCCGGAGAGAAACGGAAGCGGGTTCTCGGTCTGCGCGGCGTCGAAGGGCTCCGACAGTCGGCCCCTCACCGGCGTCGTCTTCGAGCCCTTCGAGGAAGTCAAGAAGGAGCTCGATCTCGTCCCCACCATTCCGCAAGTCTCCATCGCTCGCCAGAAGTACACCGAAGAGGCCGAAGCCGCCGTTAACGAGCAAATTAAGTAAGATTTCTTTCCCATTCCCTTAGTTCTTTCTTGCTATTTGAGTAATACAGATTTTCTTTCTTGATTGTTTAGAAAAGTTTAATCGTCTAATCATTATTTCTTTGGGGGAAATTACCAGTGTGGAGTACAATGTTTCGTACGTTTACCATGCCCTGTTTGCCTACTTCGATCGGGACAACGTCGCGCTCAAGGGTCTTGCCAAGTACGATAATTAAAGTTCTCAATTTTCTTTTGTTAGCATTAAATTTCGTTTTTTCTGTTGATTTATGGGGGTTTTGTTCGACTTTTTCTGATCAACAGGTTTTTCAAGGAATCCAGTGAAGAAGAGAGGGAACACGCTGAGAAATTGATGGAATATCAGGTGCGTTACACTTTTGTTCCTTCGTTTCTTTGTTTTTAACCTAATTTTTTTTTCCTATAATTACTGAAAAAAAGAAGGCTCTGTTCTGGTCTTGTCTTGCTTTGTAACAGAATAAGCGTGGTGGGAAAGTAAAGTTGCAGTCTATTTTGATGCCCCTCTCCGAGTTTGATCATCCAGAGAAAGGAGATGCTTTATATGGTTCGTTTGTTTTGGCTCCTTAGTTATCTATTTGTTATAAATTGCGTAATGTTTGTCTCACTTGTAGCATTTAACGTGAAATTTCTTCTTGTGGGCCCGTGGCATGAGTTTCTTGAAATTGCATATAATTTGTCTCACTGGCAATTATGATTGAACCTCTAATGCAAAGAAGTAGATGTAGGTGACCGCAGTTTGTAATAACAACATTGTAACATGAGAAGTAGCCTGGCATGTTAAAACCATAGTAGTAAATTACATAATTTTGAACTTTGCATTTGGGTATTTGGCATTATTTTTTGGCTGGGTTGTCCTCGGTTTCTTTAAATTCAGATTGCTTCATATCAAGGAATGTAGATGCTATGAAAATGATGAGAATTAATTGCTGCCTAAACTGTTAAATGCATAGGACCGCCCCTTTGGATCTAAAGCTTATTGGTGCTTTAAGTATATACTTGATTAGAGTAAATTAAGGGGGAAGGACATAACTATCCCCTTAGAGTGCGCGAGTCTAGATTTTTACCCCTTACTCTTGATTAATATCCTTTTAGTCAAATAACTATATTAGTCAAAAGGGTATTAATCAATAGTAAGAGGTAAAAATCAAGACTCAATAGTAATTCTCTCTATAATAATTAATGTTAATGAACTTATGATTGTAATCTAGCAACTACCTTCAATGACTTTCCTCTGATATTGCAATCTGTTATTATACTTTAGCAATGGAGCTTGCATTATCCCTGGAGAAGCTGACGAATGAAAAGCTCCTCAACTTGCACTGTGTAAGGAATTTACCAGTTACTACTTTTTTCGTTAATTTTGCCAAAAGGCAATTGTATTTTTATGGAATAATGCTCTTTTTAATCTTCCGTCATTTGGCGAACAGGTTGCTGACTGTAACAAGGATGTGCAGTTGGTAGATTTCATTGAAAGTGAATTCCTGACTGAGCAGGTGAATTTTGTAATTTAGGAAGAGTGGCACAAATTGAACATTTACTCTTATGGACTTTTATTCTCAACTTTCAATTTTCACTTTTCTAGGTGGAAGCCATCAAGAAAATCTCAGAATATGTTGCCCAACTGCGGAGAGTCGGCAAAGGACACGGTATTATTTTCATCCTTTCTTTTCTTCTGAATTCCCCTCGGTTGTAGAATACGAGTACAAACTTACATTCATAACCGTTATTTGAAATTTGATCCCTTCCTGATCTCTGAATTGTCTGCATTTGACTTTCCAGGAGTTTGGCACTTTGATCAAATGCTGCTCCACGAGGAGGAAGCTCTTAATGGAGCTGCTGCGTAATAAGGAGTCCATTTTCTTTTTCTTTTTTTTTCTTTTCACTACCACTTCGGAGGGGTTTCTACATGGTTTACCATGTTAAATAGTTCTTGTTCAGAGATTGTTTTCAAACTTAGTACCGTTTGTTAGATTTACCAGTGAGAATGCGCATGGATTTAAGCTTTAGTCCAGATAATCATAGATGTAAAATCAGTGAGTTTTCTTTGCGACTACTCTTCGGTTCTTTTCATTTAAATCTAGTATGCTCGTCTTGATTGAGATAATTTTTGCATTGGAATCCGGCATATCTTTGTGGCTTTGTGCATTAATCTCGAAGGTGGTCCACTAGAATACAGCAAAATTTGTTGGTTTTGCACGTTTTTAGGCCCTTTTGAAAGAAAGACAACTGACTAAAGCGGCCAAAAATGTTTAGGGGTCCTGAGGTCTGTGTTATGGCTGTCTAAGACCATGGTGATTGCTTGACACTCCTGTTTTGTTCCCACAATACAAAAACGTACGGCACTTCTTATCGTCGTTTTAGGACTGTGTGCCTGCATAGGAGAACTGTCGTTTACGTTGAGAGGTGAGGTTCATCCGGCTACTTTCATTAAGAGTTTGAATTTTAGTTGTAAGGATTAGATTAGAGGTAATAAAGCATGGCTATGTTATCCCGAACTTTCAAACTGGAAGAAAAGAACAGCATAAGCGAATGCTTTAACTGAGCTGTGAATTTTTTGACTCAATTTAACTGATAATCTTAAAAGCTGTGTTTTGGTGCTTCTGTGCCTAAAGCCTAGTTGCTTACCGAATTTTTTATTGTGATAAATTATTTCTTGAATTTATTTGGGAGTTTCTCCCATAGGACTAATAAAATGAAACTTTCAGTAGTTTTATTTTTTTTAACAACTTTCAGCCGTTAAATCTACATTAAAAATTATCTGTTTTGTATATTTTTTTATTCTTATTTTATTTCGATCAGATTTAACAGTTAAAAAATTAATCTTACTAGTAGGACAGCCTACCAGAGGCAATCCGTATTTAGAAGTTTTTTCAAATCAATGAAAGATATTAGAATTCGAAATGAAATATGTAACATGATGTGCTTCAATTATTATTTGAAAAAAAAAATGAGAAAATTTGAAATTACCTTAGGGTGCATAAGTCTAAATTTTTACCCGTTACTCTTGATTAATACCTTTTTTATTAATATAGTTACTTAATGAAAAAAAATATTAATAAAAAATGATGCGTAAAAATAAACTCATACACTTTAAAAAGTATTTGTCTAATTTTCTTTTTGATTTTTCCCCCTTTAAATGAGTTCACAGTTGTATATGAGGGTATTTTCATTCAAATTTCAAGTCGTTATTAGGCACTACGCAACATTATATTAAATTTTAATACCTATTTATCACATTTGAAAAATTGGACATAACTTTGTAACGTGCAAAGTTATTGTCGATATGCCAAATACCTTTTGTTAAATTTCCAGCTATCACCTTGTTTTGTAGCAAAGGTAGGCTTGATATACTAAAACTAAAGTTTGGACTGAATTAAATGGACCGGTCCCAAACTCTCAGGCTGGACATAGCCAATACTCTAGATCTAAAACTATTTTTGAACCGAACTGATCTGGCCTGAAGTGTTATTATTATACATATTTTTAAATTAAAAAAAGAAGACAAATGGTCGTTAGAGTATACGAGTTTAGATTTTTAGACGTTACTCTTTGATTAATATTCTTTGGAAAATTTTTTAAAATACCCCATGAAATGGAGCTCTCTTTCATTTTTACCCTTTAATATTATTGGCACATATATTTCTACCTTTTAAACTATAACTAATGAAGGGGTATTTTTTTTTTAAAAGTACTTTTAGTAAACCGGATACTTAAAAGAGATCGAATATGTAATTTTCTAATATCAAAACTCTCAAAAAATAATCACATCTAATTTTTTTTTACAGTAAAAAATTTTAAAAAATAATCACATCTAACTTTTTTTTTATAATAAAAAAACTCATATAAAACTATATCTCAACTCAAATTAAAAATTTAAATCGACCAACTAAATATGTCATGTATTAGTCAAAATAATATCATTCAAAAGTAAAGAGATAAAGTCAGTAGTAATTTTATCTGTTAAACTTTCCTCGTAAAAACTGGGCCGGCCCGGCCCTGATCTGTGAGGCTTTAAAGTCAGGCCACGGCTAAGGAAGCAGTCAGATCAAATAGCACCCAATAAGTAAACGATTAACCTAACCAAAAATAAGCTAGGATAAGGATTAAATTAATGTCGTCACCGAGGTTTTAAGAGAACGTAAGCAATGAACTGAAGCTACCTGGACTAATTTAGCATGGAAAAGCACAAATCAGATCCACAAGAGGTAAATATTTTGGACAATGGCACAAACAAACAAGCCAGTAAATGTTTAACACAAGAGTAAGGCAAGCAAATAAGGCAAGCAATGCATTAAGGAGTCCAAGCAAGAATTAACTTCCAAACGGGCATTAAGGAGTCCAAGCAAGAATTAACTTCCAAACGGGCATTAAGTACTACAATTCATAATTCAACAACTACAATTAACAGTACCAAGCAAAAGAGAGCAAAATTTGCAGCATAAATCCAATATAAGGTTCAGCTACGAGAAAAACCGAACATCAAACAAAGTCTAAGAAATATCAGAGGCTGTTCATTATTGTTTAAGCTGTGGATGCTGCTTGGGCTGCAAGCCTCTTCTTGGCTTCTTCAATGATAGAAAGCTTAATACCCTTACCCTTTGGAAGGGATAACCATGGCTTGGTCCCCTTGCCAATGGTGAACACATTGCCCAATCGAGTAGCGAACTCATGTCCAGTAGCATCCTGAACGTGGATGGTCTCAAAAGTTCCCTTATGCTTTTCCCTGTTCTTGATTACTCCAACACGCCCTCTGTTCCTTCCACCAGTAACCATCACTACATTTCCAACATCAAACTTGATGAAGTCAGTGATTTTGTTGCTCTCAAGGTCCAGCTTGATGGTGTCGTTCGCCTTGATGAGAGGGTCAGGGTAACGGATAGTACGCCCATCATAGGTGTTCAGATATGGGATACCCTTTTGGCCAAACTGCACAGAGCGAACTTTGCAAAGCTTGAACTGCAGCAAAACACGCGAACAATGAGAAAAAGCCAATAAGAGATTCAACATGGGCCATACCGCCATACATATAAAACTACCTATGTTTAGCCAGCCATGCTAGTGAAGCATGGCTGATGATACAATGTTGTAATTTCCAGTTGTTTAAAGTGTTTGATCATGTACCTCACTACCAGTTTATATACACTCTTTCAAAAGAGAAACAAAAACAAAAAAAAAACAAAAAAACAAAAACAAAATTTTAAAGTTATTTCAAAGGAACAAAAGAATAGATCACCTTTGCCTCATCATCCCTGATTGAGTGGAGACGGAAACGGCCTTTAGTATCATAAAGAAGACGGAAATTCTCATTTGTTTTTGGGATGGATACGACATCTATCAAAGACACGAGTGATATTACATTTTCAACACCACAGGATAAAAGAATCAAAACCTAGGACAACAAGATACAGGAAAGCCATTCCATAATCCAATGCTAAGTAACATGTTGAGTTCATTCGCACAAATCATATCGAAAACGGATCAGAAAAAATAGTGTGGCCTACAAACTACGCCATGATAGAATCATAATAGCAGCATTCATATTCATCAACTATTTGTATGATTACCTGTAACAAGTGTTACATTACTCTCAAAGAACACAACCACTTGAACTTGAAAAGCACAAAGAAAAACACTAATGCCATACTTACATTTTTAAACTATTTCCAACATATAATAGATACAAAAACTGAAAACAAAGGTAATGATTCCAGTTAGAAGATTGGATTTCTTACCCATGAAACCAGAAGGATATGTCTTATCAGTCCTGACCTTTCCATCAACCAAGACATGCCTTTGCATCAAAATGGAAATAACTTCACGGTATGTTAGAGCATATTTCAAACGGTTTCGCAGGATGAGGATCAATGGCAAGCACTCCCTGGATTTGTGGGGTCCAGATGAAGGCTTAGGTGCCTGCATAACAAAAATAGATTACAAATTAAAGGAATCATTTCAAAATGAAAAATAAATGCAACACTCAACAAACACCAAAAAAATTAAAGAAAAAAAAACTTACAAATGCACCGCCAAGTTTGTCAAGCATCCAATGCTTGGGAGCATTGAGCCGCTTCAAATGCTTCTTCAATCCTCTCGCCTGATTAATAATAATAAAAGAAAAAACCTCAAACTTCAAAATCCATACAAAGACAATAAACTTAAAAGTTACCCATAAATAAAACTCAAACTAACACCACAATATATTGAAGTATTAACTAATCTAGTATTGATTCTCCTAATTTATCGTGTCCATTAAAATTTGCAAGCTTTGCATCGCTGATGAAGACGTCAGACGTAAAATAAATTATCCCAAAAATCCATAACGTACAAATATACATCAAAATATACAAATCTAGATCTGGGTATCATAAATCATTCATATTCGTTCACAAAAAAGAGAGAGAGATAGAGAATTTGGCAGTGATCTGTGCATTTGTTCTATTTTCAGATGCAAATATATTTGCACACAAAAAAAAAACAACGAAGAGAAGTAAAAGGTGAACTAAAGAGGAGACAGAAAGAGAAAGATGAGTGAACCATTTTGGGATGATGAGCTTGAAGATCTCAGGAGGCGCTAGCTGAGCCTCTGCAAGAACTGTGTGCGGAAGAGAGATCAATAATGCCTTCGAAAACCCTAGCGTGGTGTTTTTTGGAGGGGTTGTTTATCGTTGCCGGTGTTGGGCTCATATGGGCTTTTCGTGAGTTTAATGGGCCTTGACTTATTTGGTAGCCTTGTGGGCTCCCTTTAGCCATTAAAGAAACGGTTAGAGTAGCCCTTTAATTGTTTTTTTATTATTTTTTTACAAAATATAAATTTTTGTTTAGAGAAGTCAATTTAATATATGGAAAGGAATACCAAGTCTAAGCCCTGTTCATTTCACCGATTCAAATTTAAAATTTAAGTTTTGCTATAGTAAAATACTCTCAAAAACAGTCACATCTAACTTTTTTACTACAGTAAAAAGTTCTCACATAAAGTCACATCTTAACTCGAATCAGCGAGCTAAACGGGCCCTAAACCTATTGGAATTGAAAAATGGAAATCTAGTTAGGTATTTAGAGATTTGTTCACTCTTTAACATCAAATTAAGAAGGGAGTAAGTTTACAAGACAAAATTTGAGGAGAATAAAACTGAAAAAAGGTGTTTAAACGCATATGAAAATAGAAGAAGGCTTCTTTTCTTCTGCTTTAAATCATTGGTTTGTCAAAAAAGTAGACCAATGATTTTAGTTTTAATTGGTGTTTACTCTAAAGTTTCTTAAAATTGTTTTAAAATTTATGGTATAAACTAGTGGTTCAATAAGAAATAAGTCATGTGTGGTTCAAGTCAAATAAATAAAATAAAAAAGTAAACCGGTTGTTTGGTCAATAAGAAAACCGATACCTTAAGGATAACATGGACTTTATAACTCATCAAAGTTGATGCATAAAAAAATAATAAAAACAGTAAAAAAAAAAAAAAAAAAAAAAAAAAAAAAAAAAAAAAAAAAACCAACCTAGTTTACCCTACATGAAGGACCCATGTGAATTAGGAGTTTACTTCTTTTACAGAACTAGTATGCAAAAATACCTCTTTTGTAGAAAATTGAAGTATAATTAAAATATGAAAGTGATGACACGAATAATTAGATTTTGAATTTTTATCCAGCCTAATTTACTTCCGCGAAAAAAAAAACACACACACACACACCAAAAATACTACTCAAAGTAGTTAAAAATATTTTAATGCCACTCTACTAAAATTAAACAATCGCCATTCAATTATTAAAGAGAAAACAAAATACCACAATTAGAGGTGTTCATCCAATCTTATTTTTGTTGTATAACAACTAGTCCAATCAAAGGTTGATTTTTTAGAAATTTCATCCAATCAAATTACTAGTGTATCATTCAATTCAATTTAAGTTGGTTTGGATTAGATTGGACCAATTGGTTTTGAGCTTGAGCATAAGTACATCTATTCTTTTTAATTTTCGTTCTTTCTTTTGGCTATTCGACCTATTTGTTAGCGTTTGAAGAAAGGCTCGTGGCAAAAGAAGACGGAGGAAAATTTTTAGATAAAATGTCCTTATGGTCTTTTTATTATAATTTTAAGTTTTTATTAAGAAGTTTTGATTTAATGTGCGAAAACATACACTTTAATCTTTGACCAATAATATAAATACATTTATATCTATAATTATATATAGTTTATACAGAAGTTGGATAAGTTTGGATTGGATGTTTTGAGAGTAAAATGAACGTCTAATCCAATTTAAGTCGGATTTTGAGAATTCACATCCAATCCAATCGATTGAGGTTAGTTATCTATTAATTGAATCATATTAGACTAGTTAGTTTGATCAGTTAGTTAGATTTATTGAATATTTCAAATCACGCTTAATTATTTAAAACGATATAAATGATTGGTCTTAACCTTAGGCCCAACTCTATTAGAGCCAGCTCGGCCTTGGCCCAAAATTTTTGAAGCGTTTTTGTGAATTAGAGGAAAGGAAAATTAATACCCTGCCTAGTGCCTATTTTATACTATTTAGAGGTGTGCATCGGTATCTGGTTTTTTTTTTTTTTCATTTTTCTTAGAAATTTTTTTTGATAAGATAAAGATCAGTTTTTTTTACTATTAAATTTGATTAAAATTAAATTAAATTAAAAAATATGTAAAATAAATAATTTTTAATATAAATTTAATGATTAAAAAATAAAAAATTACTCATAATTTTGGGTCCGTTCACTTCGCTGATTTAAATTTGTAATTTGAGTTGAGATGTGATTTTATGTAAGAGCTTTTTACTGTAGCAAAAAAGTTAGGTGTGACTGTTTCTGAGAGCTTTTTATTATAACAAAACTTAAATTCAAAAAAGTTAGATGTGACTGTTTCTGAGAGCTTTTTATTATAACAAAACTTAAATTTTAAATTCGAATTGGTGAAGTGAACGGAGCCTTTATTTTTCTGATACTCTATGAGAGTAAATCCGTTCTTCTTAAACGAAAAAGAAAAGACTTTTTTTTTTATAATTGACTCATTTTTTTCCCAATTATTATAACTCTTTTTTGGTTTTTTTTTTTTTGTGTGCAATAGAGAAGGACGGGGAAATTGGAATATCTAATATATCTATAAATCTATAAATTTTAAAATTGCCTTTCACCAAAATGGAATAAAAAATAAAAAGCAGAAAATGCCGAATTCCAAAATAAAACCAGCGGAAACTCTTTACCCGTACACACAGACACATTTTTATTCTCTACACAGTGCTTTAATCACCTCCACATTCCTCTTCTCCTTTGGGTGTGTTCTTTGGAGACAGAATAATGGAGAAGAACAAGGCCGTGTTTGTTTGTTTTCTAATATCCCTGTCGGTGATCGCCAATTCAAACGCCGGCGAAGATTTTGATGTTCGCAAACACCTCTCTACTGTATCCAGGTCTCGCTCCTTCTCTTTCTCTTCGATTCTATGTATTATAATGGATCGATTTTTACTTTTTTGGGTTTTTAATTGAAGTTTCATACCGGATTATTAGTAGTTATGGTGTTTGTAGGGCTAATTGTTCTGTTTCCTTGTTTTCTCCTTCGTTGAAGATATGGTGTTGTCAAAGATATTGCTGACAATTCGTTTGTAGCTTCGAATGTTCCAGAAGGATGTACTCCCATCCACCTGAATCTTGTGGTATCATTTATTTGCACAATTTTAATTTTTTGTTGGAAAATGCTATTGAAGTAATTTTGATAAATGTTATAAATGTAGTTTGCACAATTTTAATTTTTTGTTGGAAAATGTTGTTAGTGTAGTATAGAATTGACACGAGATATTTTATGAGAAAAAAAATCTAGGCCTTTCCCTTTTAAATGTTTTGGTGGAGAAGCTACTTTTATGTGTCAAATCGCGATACATTTCCATCCTTTTTCAGTGATCTTATTCATTTGATTCGTTCATAAGCCTTGTTAAGCTTGGATTGACATATAATTTAAACATTGATTATGCATATGCGGAGATTGTAAGGCATGATGGACTTGGGAATGGTTTATGTATTCGGTTTAATGATTTGACACATTTTTGGTTCTGTTGATGCCCTAATACTGTATAAGTGTTTGAATTAGAGGACATAATTGCTAACCATATTACTACTTTACATTCCTAGGCAAGACATGGAACGCGCTCACCAACCAAAAAAAGAATGAGAGAGTTAGACAGGTTGGCAGCTCATCTCGAAGTACTTTTGAGAGATGTGGAGGTACAAAATTTGTCTTTGCAAGAAGTTCCTTCCTGGTTGTGGGGTTGGAAATCTCCTTGGAAAGAAAAAGTGAAGGGTGGAGAATTAATCAGTAAAGGAGAGAAGGAACTATATGATTTTGGAATCAGGACTAGAGAAAAGTTTCCAAATTTGTTTGATGAGGATTACCACCCTGATGTTTACCCAATAAGGACAAGTCAAGTAAGCATCATTAGTTTCCTTTTCCTTTGATTTTCTTATGTTAAAGCATTACCTGACTTCTTTCTATATAAGTTGCCATTGTAAAAGCTCTTTTCAAATGTGGACGAACATATTTTATGTTCATGCACTTCTAATAACAACACGGTGAAATTTTTTCGGGTCCCAACTTAAGCAGCAATTATTTAGTAACTTTAGCTATGGTCATGGCCAGTCTTTTATTCTCTATCTGTTATCAAATTTGCTGTCACCTGTCAACTTACACATTTCTCGATTCTTTAATGGGCTAGGTTCCTCGAGCATCAGCTAGCGCTGTGGCTTTTGGAATGGGGCTATTCAGTGCGAGAGGAAGTCTTGGACCTGGGCGTCATCGAGCGTTTGCTGTAACTAGTGAAAGCCGTGCAAGTGATATAATGCTACGTTTTCATGACTGTTGCCAGAACTACAAGGTAATTTTGCTTTCCCAGTCTCATCTGCTTCTTCGGATATATAAATTCCAAAACATATAAATCTCATCAGTTGTTCCCTTCTTGTGTTTATTTAATTTATAGAGCTAATGAAATGATTAACTTCTTGTTACACCACGTCCTATGTGGGCACCTAGTGCATAACATTTTAGAGGCCCTTTTAATTTAGAAGCGTGTTTTGTAATGGTTTTTTGGTTTTTCGTTGTGCTCCATGGAGTTATTCTTATTTTTCTGTAGTTATACTTGGAATATTTCCTTTCCCCTTTTTTTTTTCGGCTATGAGTTTCTCCAAAGATTTCTATAAGAAGTTGTACTGTTTCTTATCCATAATTGAAAAAAAAAGGCAGATGTTTCCAGATCTGACAAAGAAAAAGGGCTGTTTGACTTGGCAATTGCCAAGTGTGAAGTTTGTGCTTGAATAATAAAAGGATTGTTGATAGTTATCGTCTATGAGAATTGTTTTGCGTAAATATTTGAGACTTATGGATGCAGGCCTTCAGGAAAAGTCAAGAGCCTTTTGTTGATGAACTTAAGGAACCAATTCTTGACAAGATCACCTCTGCTTTGGTCGGACGCTACAAGTTGAATTTTACAAGGCAGGATACATCTTCTCTTTGGTTACTGTGCAAACAGGTATTTTATTTCAATGATCTCTGTCCGTAAGCATTTTCTATCAGTTGATCAGTTCAGTTTTTTTTCTTCTCCCTTTGATTAGTTCAGAGTTGATACGTTTGCTTTAATCGTCTCAGAATTAATTACATTTACTTAAAAAGTTGATATTAAGCTTTCTTTTAATCGCCCAAATTGGTGATTGTTTTGCAGGAAGCATCTTTATTGGATATAACTGACCAAGCTTGTGGTCTTTTTACCCCTTCAGAGGTATACATGATTGTTTATTACTTGCCCTGATGTGACTTAATTATTATTAGTTTTTTTCAGATATTTTCCCCTAATGTGTTCACTTTTAGTCCTGTAGCTTGAGAAAGTTAAATTTGTCAATCGGTGATCTCATCTATTATTACTTTAATAGTCAACACAAACCCTGTATAAGTAGCTGTCCTGTAGTGAGCTGGTAAATCAACAAAACAGGACTAGGAAGTGGTATATAGTTTTTATTGCTGCTACATGCTTTTTCTTATTCTCATTCAAAATTCTCTACACGTGTAGGTTGAGATGCTTGAGTGGACAGATGACTTGGAAATGTTTATATTGAAGGGTTATGGCAATTCATTGAATTATCGCATGGGAGTGCCATTACTTGAAGATGTTGTGCGATCTGTGGAGCGGGCTATCCAAGCTAAGGAAGGTAAGATTGTTGTGAGAAATAATGACCTGGTGGAGGATTGGAATCACTTTAATAATCCCGTGGTCATGTAATTTTTAGTTACTTTATACTTGTTTGGTTGCTTCGCCTTTCATGCCGTCTAGGTAAAATAAAATAAAACGGAGTAGAGAAATAGGTATGGTACTTCAATAGTGGGAGCTTTAACCTTACTAAAGCAATTGTGGAAAGCTATGATGCTTGCATGTATCTTATAATATTTCAACATCTTGTCCTTATAGAAAAACACACTCCTGGAAGTTATGAAAAGGCAATACTAAGGTTCGGACATGCAGAGACTGTGGTTCCATTCTCTTGTCTTCTTGGACTTTTCCTTGAAGGATCTGGTGAGTGATTTCATCATTATATTCTTAACTATCTTGTAGGATCTCAGTGCATTTGATGGGTGCTAAATGTGAGCATTTTCTGCATCCTATATAATCAATATAATCCTTCTTTCCAAATATTTCAGAATTTCAGCAAATACAGAAGGAAGAACCCTTGGAATTCCCTCCAAAGCCTCCACAAAGGAGAAACTGGAGGGGCAGTGTTGTGGCGCCTTTTGCTGGTAACAACATGCTTGTGTTGCACAGCTGTCCAGCGAATACTTCAAGCAAGTATTTTCTGCAAGTCTTGCATAACGAACAACCCATTCCGTTGCCTGTAAGCCTCTCTCTCTGACGACTAGTTATTTTCTAACTTGATGTTACATCTTCAAAGATTTTGACTTTATGTATTTGTTCGTGCAGGGTTGTGGTGGTTCTGATTTCTGTCCATTTGAAGTTTTTAAGGTACTAATGTTATCCTACTCAAACGCTTCATTTGGCGTGACTCCTCATCTGATGCTCATTCAAAACTTTGTGTTACATATATACAGGAAACAATTGTCGCTCCTCATTTGAAGCATAATTTTATCACACTTTGCACTGTGAAGCTGGATAAACAGGAGCCTAATCTTGCAACGATTAAGTTTTCTCAACTTGTCCGTTGGCTTCTTTCCTTCTTCTTACCGGGGAAGGATGATACAAGGTCGGGCAAAGATGACTTATAGTGTGTTTTTCAAGACTTCAAGTAAGGAAGGAATAATCTCACATCCGTTTTCCTTATTGGCTTCGACTTTCATGGTTTTCAGCCACGAGGCCCACGTCCAGCTCCTCTTGCTAATGTACATTTTTCATCAATACAGTTGCTAACACATAACCTGCTTTAGCGCTCGGCTGAGATCTTTGGTACAATCCTGTTTGTCCCGTTCACCTTGCAGTCTTGCTTTTAACACTGTTTTAGTTGTTGTAGTACATTGGTTATATTATCTAGCTTGATCTTCCTACATTTTTGGGAGTAGGTCACGTTTATGGTATGCGAGATAAATGGAATTCGTTGCAGTATGATCAGTTGTAGTTGACCCAGACTGCAAAGATAGCTGTTTGGGGAGGTCTTTGTCTTTGTTCAAGGACGCAAAAAAATTCTCTCTTCGCTGTTTGTTCTTGTTTTTAGGACATAAGCATAGTTTCCTCGAGGTTCATAAGGCCACTAATGCTTCGCTGGATTCGTGTTATGGTTCGGATTATAGTTAATGGTTCGTTACAGTGTTTTCTTTCACAAAAAACATGCGTAAACTGAAAATGGTTCTGAATCATAGTTTTGATCTCATGAACTAAACGTCCACTAAGTCATCTGTTCTGAGTGGTTACTGGTCATGTAACTTTTCAAGTATTACAAGCAAATTAAATGCAATGACTATTACGTTGTAGAAAACATGGAGGGTCGGGTCAACATATTTGTTTTTCGTGAAAAATATCGTATTCAATGTTTTTCTTTTCTTTTTCTTTTTTTCTCTTTTTTTTAAGGTAAAGTTTTATTCAACAAAAAAGTGATATAGACATCAATAATAATGCAGATGAACCTGTGGCACACGATACAAAATATTCGATAAAAATTGGTTCCATTAGTAAATTCTAATGAAGCACAAAGAAAAAGACGCAAGATGAGACTTAATATCGGAAAAATTCCTCAACACATCAGTTTGAGCATGTATAAGGCTCTTTTAGAAATCACGACAATCGATAAAAGTTTTTGATCCATAGAGAGCATGTAACGCGTAGCTTTAAGGCACTAACATCTCCGCCTAGACTTGTATCTAGTGGGACTTTTAACTCGCCAAGATCTAAATTTGACGGACCAAAAACAAACTCAAAAGGTGGAAGAACCACATCCATTATTACTATATGGCAGAAATATTGACGCGTGTATTAGACTAAACATAAACAATTAAAACCCAAAGCACGACTGCCGCAAGCCTTCAATAACAGTACAGCTGACAAGAGGATTGTCAGGGTAGGAAGAATGCTTTGAGGGACAAGCAGTGAAGCTGATGAGATGCCTTCAAACAGTAGAACGTGAAACATATGGACCACCACCATCAATGTCTGGAGACAACACCACCACCTCCAAAAAAAGCCCACCATCATTCAAAACAAAACTTAGAAAGAGTATGACCACCAGACGAGGAATGCGCCAAAAAATGCCACCAAGTTATCTAGATTCCATCCTTTAAAACAAATTAGATCCGCCCCAACAAAGCCACTTTGCCAAACACAACCACCGTCATTGAAAATCAAACAACGATAGGAGCCTCTTAACCAATTTTCAATGCCAAAGATCTAGCGGCACACTCGAAGGCAGTTTTGAAATTCCGGCCGTCTCACTCTCTCCTTTTCTCTTTTTCTCATTTCTTTAGCTATATCAGGCGAAAAACTATTATAACTATCGTTATGAAACTAGTACATGAGGGAATGAATAGCCTTGTATCAAAGCTAAAAAACAAGTTTGTCAAATGCAACAGCTGCTACTCGCATCTTAGGTCGTCTATTGCTCGCGCTCTCAACCTTTTGGTTGCATTATTATTGAAAAAATTGGTTAATCCCACAAATGATCTCTAAAGTTTGCCCTCAATTTCACTTTAGTCTCTTGACTTTTAAACGTCTCACAGTTGGTCATTAGGGGTTTATTTTATTTCAATTTCAGTCCTTCCGTCGGCTATGTATTAAATATTTGATGAAATCTGTGTAAATTAATTTGGGAACATCTAAAGTTTAGAGACTAAAATAATACAAAAAACAAAAATTAGTTTCCGTAGAGTCTCTAAATTTTAACTTCTCCCAGTTTTAGTCTTAATTTACACAATCTTCATCAAATATTTAACACCTAGTAAACGGAAAGACCGAAACTAAAACATAATAAAATCTCAGGAATCAACTGTGGTTACGTTTTAAAAGTCAAGAACTAAAGTATAATTAAGAGTAAATCTCAGGAACTATACGTGAGATTAACTCAAAAAAAAAAAAAGGGACCTTTTTGATTGGTTGATATGGATGCAAAATTCACATTGGCGAAATGCGAACAGTTGTATACAAATATATATATATATATATATATAAAGAGTTTTTTTTTTTTTTTATGTTGCTTGGGGAAATTGAAAACAATGAAAGAGTCGACTTTTGCCAAGATTTTTCATAACCCAACCATTAGTACAACTTGGTTTTTCTATGAAAATTGTACGTCAAGTCATGAACAGAAGTGTTCAATTTGGTTTATTATTCAACTTTAGCTAATATATGGGGTACTCTGGCAAATCACAGTTTAGAGGAAGATATAATAACTTTTCTTTTTCCTTTTTATGCAAAGATGTATCTTTTATAATTCTAAAAAAAAAAAAAAAAAAGATGTATCTTTTTTATGGAAACTTGGAAGATAATAAATTTTTTATGTGGTGATCAAAGATTCATAGAAGATGAAACAAAATTGTACACCATTCATCTACCTCACTAATCAGTATACACAAAATAGGAGGGCCATTTAACGTGTCGAGTCCCATACAAATTGGAGGCATTCACTGCCGACAAACGCCCATGCACGTAATAGGAAGTGCCTTTAATGCATCAAGACCAATAACAAATAAGGAAAAAAGAAATAAACTTATTCTTAAAAGGAAGTGAACTAATTGCAAGTTACGAAATTACAGGAAAATGACAACATAAGTACATTATGTACACATAAAAAAGTTAAGACACGGGATTAGCAAAAAAGTTTAAGACACAGGTTTCATTATTAATTCCGACAAAAGAAAGAAACTATTATTACGAAGAAGCCAACGACAAACACGCCAGTGTCGTATTATCTCCTGTAAGCTTTCCATTACTAGCGGAAACAGACCTGGAATAGCACCCCAACACGTCCCTGTATCGAACCCTCTGCAGAGTCTCTGCCGTGCCGGAGACAACGGAGTGACCCTTCACCTCCATCCACCCATTCGAGTCCTGCCAATTGTAGAGCCGCCTTTTACGGCCGCCATGGAAGGACTTCTCATCCATCGAGTGCGAGACGTTCGTGACCAGCATATAGGTGTCCTTCCGCGACCCTGGAAGCTTCGCCGTGATCACTCTCAGAGGATATTTCCTCTTCGAGCTCGTACAAGTAATCACTTGGCCTCTGTCGTTCAAAACCTTGACTTCTCTGCTCGCCTTGATCTTCTGCTTCACTGACTTGTAGTCTCCGTCGTTCTGGAACCGGATCGTGTTCCAGAGCTTGTACCTCTGCGAGAATGTCGTCGTGTGGTTGCCTCCGCTCCACTTGACCCAACCTGTGTATTGGATTGTTCTCTCGGCTTTGGTCTTGAACGATCCGTCGAGTTTTCTGAACTGCGATTGGCGCTCAATTTGGAGAAGCGGATTCAGGTAAAAGCTCGATTGCGCAACCACCGACGGCGATTTGTGGTCCAGCCAGAGGTGTAAATTGGCGTTCACGAGCCAGTACGAGATTCCGTCGGAGACGCCGATCCCGAGCCGGTGAACATTTTTGTCCAAGAGCTTTCCGAGAAATGGCGTCAATTCTAGGTCGTACGTTGGCAAATTGAAGGCTCCGATCGCCACCACCGGTTCCCAAAACAGAGGATTGATTCCACCGGTGAAGAAAACCGGAAAGGGAACCTCCGATCCGACTAACTCGCCGTCGATGGTCACGAAAACCTCTCTGTAAGCTCCGTTAGCGCGAGCGGTTTCCAGATTGTTCATTGCGACATAGGAATTCGGCGGATTGGAGTACCAAAACTCGTCGTTGCCGTGAAACGACACGTAAAGTTCCAGAACGGCTCGGCGAGTGTTCTTCGGGAATCGGATTTCCTTGGCGTGCAAATCCAATTCGCTCTCTGATCTGAACCAGAATCCCCTCTCGCCGGAGTCCGATATCGGAATGATCAAATCCGCCGGCTCTTCCTCCACAATCGCCAAATTCGCGCCAAAATCCGAAGATTCCAGCCCTGTCTTTTGCCTTATAAACCCTAACTCTCCACTTTCATTCCGATCTCCGGTCGTAGACGGAACCCTAACTTCGGTTACGTTGTCCTTGTAATACAGAAAATTGACTTCGACATGGTAGATTCCAGTAAAGTCCTTGTCCACGACGTTCTCGAGCATAATAGTGAGATCCAAGTCCGATCGCGAGAGAATCGAAGAGTACCTGGTCACGTCCTTCCGAACCTTCCAGAAGATCCCGCCCTCGGTCGGCTCGGCGGGGCTAGTCCGGAGAATCTCGACGCCGCCGAGCCACAGGGCGGAGATTCGGTCGTACTGTTCTCCTTTGCATTTGGCGCGAAACTCGACGACGACGAAGGACCAGGGGGAGGGGCAATCCGACGGCGGAGAGTAAGGCGTTGAGAAAGGAGGGCCATCGATGGTGTTGGCGAAGGAGTGGCGTAGGATCGGGAGAGTGCACGATGAAGTCAGCCGATCGGACGGCAGAGGAAGGGCGAGCTCGAAGTATTTTTGGGATGATGGTTTATGATGGAGAGAGGATGTGAGGGACGACTTGGTGAAACGGTTTGGGAAGTCGAAGGACGAGACAGTGTTGAAGAAGAAGAGAATAAAGAGGAAGAAAAGAGTGTTCATTTTTTGTGGTGTGAATGACAGATATTAGTAATGACAGGATTTGGAAGCTGAATAAGGGAAAGGTATAAGGAAAGGGTGAATTGCTTTTGTTTGGGAAGAAAATTCAAGTACTAGATAAGTTGATAATTCAGCCAAAAAAAGAAAAAAAAATACTAAAGTTGATTCTTTTGTCCCAAAGTAGGAAATTTCAAGTACCCAGTAAGCCTAGAAAATGAGTTTTGTGCTCTTCCCCGTTTTGATTCCAAAACTGTTTCATTGCCTCTTTGTGTTTCCCATCAAGGTAAAATGGTTCTAGTTGCTTGAGACTGTCAGCTTCCTACATCTTTGGATTGTGTCCTTGTTATGGGATGAATTTGAAAAGGTTATATGTACATATATGTATACCGTAAATGTAAAGATTACAAGCAGCTAGACTAGTTTGTTTTAGGTCTCTTTGAGCTTTACTATCTCTGACGCGTATTATGCAATTTTTGCATGGTGTATCAGCAACTACTGCATGTGTAGTAATCTATTTTTTGGCACAACCCAACATGCAAGGGATTCGTCACGTTTTCATGTATTGGAATGGTGGAGGAATCATCTTTCTTCCTTGGCAACCTGCAAAAGGTGGTGTTGAATTACTGTTAAGATGAGCAGAATCTATTCTGTTAACTTCGTACTAGTACAGTATCCAACTTAGTCAAAGCCTGAAGCCTATAAGAGAATCGAGATACCTGTCTTCAAAAAAATTAAAATAAAAATAAAAATAAAAATGAAATGCTAATTTATTTAGTGCCAATTAGGCTAACCAAAAAAACATAGTAAACCAGCAATGGTAGTGTATCCCATTATCCACCATTAATGTTCGCTTCTTTATCAATCTATATACAGACTTTACATATTCAAAGGCGGTATGAAATCACTTTATGACAGCAATTACAAGTTTAAAAGATCAAAAGGCAAGAAGGCACCTACCCTCAAAGTTTCTGAGTTCAAGTTCACGTCGTTCTTGGACCATTGCGCAGCAGCAACACATCAGGTGAGTTAAAAAGTCATCACAGGAACCTCCCTAGTTTAGTAGTTGATAAAAATGGAGTTAAGAAGGTAATGAAAAGCCGCAAAATTTATCCTTCAAAACTTTACTGTAATAGTGAACTAAAATAGTACCTCAATGTTAAGAAGTTCTCGCAATTTCCTTCTCATACAGCAGGAGTAACAACAACAGCCACCAACTAGTGAATATGCCAGCAGGTTGTTTATCGCTCGTTCACGAGCTGTATTTCAAGCAATTGAAAATGGGACAGCGATTAGAACTCTTTGTAGGACTATTATACACACACACTTCAACCTTGTTATCTTTGTAACAGAGCAAAACAAAATCCTAAACTAAATAAGCTTACATATTTTTCCTCTTGACACTATATTAGCCATCCACGAAAATGTTCCACAAGGATAGATAAAGGTCTTCAAGCCTGTAAAATCCATATACGATGAGTAATTGAACATAAGATTACAAAGAATATCTGATGTAATTTGGTTTAAGAAACTCACTAAGACAAGGCTCATTGCAACAGCCGATTAGATCAGCCTGCCATTCTGACTGAACTTCATTGTCCGTCTTCAATTCAAAATCTCCATTGGTAATATCCCTATAACAAAACCGCATTGTCAAATGAATTACCAAATCACTAAACGCTCTACTTAAGTGACGTATCAAGTTCTTACCCAGATACCACATAGGTCGGTTCATTGCTTAGAACCTTCTTAACTTTTTTGCTTGGAAGTGCATTAACAACATTTTCAGTCACGTCAATGAGGTGTTCAATAACTCGGCATTGGTCGGGGTCGTTATTTGTTCTTGATCGTTGCAGTTCTATGTTTAGCTTCTCCTTCTCCTCTTGAAGTGCCTCGTGGAAACCCAAGTCAGGATATCTGCGAGATAGAGACTTCTCCAATATGTCTGCGTCTTTCTTTGTTCTGTCCGGTTTCAGAATCACTTTCTGAGCCTCAACGTCCTCCTCATCAAGTGTATAGTCTCTTTGGTCCTCTTCTATAGCCTTCAACCCTTCCTTCAGATTCTGGGGTTTAGTGTTTCAGCACTAAAATTAGTTTAACTAGTGACTAATCCCAAATATTTTATAGGCGGACCCCAGTACCAAAAAGACTCCCGTACTATGACAGGTTCGGGAGAAAATTCAATCATATATGTAAGCGGCCTTACTCTCGAAAGAGAGACCGTTTTCGGGATTCGAACCTTGGACCCCGGGTGCAAACGCAAGCGCTCCCACCACGGTGCCAAGGCCCGTCTTCAATCCCAAAAATTTTATAAACATAAAAAATAGTTATTGGCTCATTGTGACAGAATTAGTTTACTACTGATATCTGGATATAATATAAAGTTGTCAAAATTATATCAAGTCTATCCAATACACGAAAGCCGAGTGATTATCTAGAATCATTCTTTGGGGAAAAGAATCGGAGTTTCTTAAGGCATGTTCTTTTGTCTAAAAAATTTTAAAAAAAATAACTCGAATTTCAACTTTATTTATGTTCACGTTCTTTTAAGTTTTAATTTTATTTAATTTTATTTAAATTATAACTTTAACTCAAATTATAACTCAAATTCAACTCAAAAATTACACTTAAATTACACTTCAAAAGAATAGTCCCTTAATAATTTCTCATTTTGCTTTTACGTATTATTAATTATGTAATGGTTTCGTGATCATTAAGGAACAAGTAGCCTTTTCTCTAGAACTTGAATAAAAAGGAGTGTAAAAGCAGATGCTGCAATATCATAATCGCCAATTACTTTACTGGAGAACATGACAAGCCTTTTTTCCGTTTTTCTTTAATTTTTGGCCAAAGTTCAAACTAGTAGTAAGTAGTAAAGAGTAATGACAAGCTTGACAAAGCAACCAGCAAAAAAAAAAAAAAAAAAAAAAAAAACAGCTTGACAAAGAACGGTATTACATACCACTACCATACTTTAAATGCGAAACACTTGTTATAAAAAAAATAAAAAAAATAAAAAAAACAAAACAACTTGTCAAATTAGTATCAGACTATCAGTCACACCGACAATACTCCTACAGGTGTAAAGTGAAAGAAAGGACGGTCCAGTTTCAAACGTCAAGAACTTTGTTGGTCTCTAACCTATCATTTCCAAGTTCGAACAAAGAAAATTGGGACCCAGTTTGACAAAACAAAAAATTAGCACGAACCCTCTACAGTACTGCCTCATTATTTATTTTCTTTGGTTTGGTCCTTTTCAGAACAAAGAGAATTGAGGTTAGAAAAAGATCAGTTCTTTCTGAAACTTTTTACTTGAACGTTATTAGTTTTAGAAATCTTCTACACCAAGCAAAATATTAAAACATTATAAACGCTTAATAGGGAATCTTTTTAATTATTTGCATGTCCACATTGCCTTTTCGTTTGATTATTACTCCGGTTTCATACAGTTATATGCAAGTCTAAACTTGAGAATTTAACATTGTAGATATATGAAAGGAGAGTTACCATGTCCTATTTACAGTTAATGATTGCAAATATTGCTACTAATCGCTGAATTACAAATTAATACCATTTCTACGAACAAAAATTACCTGCAAGCGGAACTCATGAACGAGAGAAATCAAAGGCACGAGGCTAAGGTAACGATCAATCTCGTCCTGGACGTGGCGGAACTGATAGACTACGCTCCACCCCATGGCAAGCAAGTACAGGCAGCTCTTGTCTCTGCAGCACTCAATCAACTCCAGCGCTTTCTTCAGAGACTCCTCCAGCCCATCCAACGGCTCCTTCACGGCCGGGAGCGTCACCAGGTCCGTCGCTTTTAGCTTCTCGAGGAGGTTTCCGATCACTCTCGCGTGCTCCGCCAGCTGCTCGCAGTTCCTCCTGTGGGTCGCGGCGGTGCGTGCCGATGCCGCGATCATGCTCGTTAGCGTCACGGCATCAGTCCCTGCTGCATAATATGGCTGCGAAAAGGTTCCCATGTTGTTGTTATTAGTACTTGTTCTTACGGCTCTACTCTCTAGTGAGAAATTTCAGGTGAGAGAGAAAGAGGTGATTTTTGGAAGTTGTCTAATGTAATAAATGCGAATTGGCAAGACATCTTATTTCATGTCTTTTATTTTACTATTTCTCTCTCTCTCTCTCTCTCCTTTTCCATATAAACCTTTTAATTTCCAGCCAAGTGGCAATGATAGAGAATTTCTTAGAAAAGGGATAGTATTTATTCTATGCTACTTAAGTAAAAACTTAAATGCTTTCTGACGTCTGCCCGTCTAGCTCAGTCGGTAGAGCGCAAGGCTCTTAACCTTGTGGTCGTGGGTTCGAGCCCCACGGTGGGCGTTATTTTATTAGCACTTACAATTTTTCACTAGTAATTATTATCTAGTTTAAAATAATTTTCAACCATTTTTGGAAAGTTATGTTCTTTCATCTAGGACACACGTCGATATGTCCGAGTGGTTAAGGAGACAGACTCGAAATCTGTTGGGCTTTGCCTGCGCAGGTTCGAATCCTGCTGTCGACGCTTTTCCATCTTTTTACTGAATCGTTTCTTTCTTTTTCTTTTTCTTTTTAGATTATTATCACCCATCCTTAAATTTTATTTTATGATCATTCTCAATTTACTATTAAATTTTAAAAACTCTCACTTTATCTCTTAAATTTTAAATTATTTTCACATAATCCCTTATATTGTAATTTTTATTAAAAACATATAAAAAAAAAGAGAATAACGCAATCACGTGGTCTTTCTATTTGAAATTCTTGTTAAAAAAAAAGATAAAAACCACGTGATCATACTTAACTCCCTCTTTTTTTGTCTAATTTTAACAAAAATTACTATAAAAATGTTAAGTTTAAATGTTTTCACATAACCCCTATGTTGCAATTTCTATTAAAAACAGATAAAAAAAAGAAAATAACGCAGTCACGTTGTCTTTTTGTTAAAAAAATAAAACCACATGATCATACTTAACTCCCCCTTTTTTTGTCTAATTTTAACAGAAATTACAATAAAAAGGCTAAACTTTCATCATCATGTTATTCTTACAAAACTCCAAAATTATCTCATAAGTTATAAATCAACATAAAATGAAATATATGCAAAACAAGTTCAAATATATAAGTTGTAAACCAACAAACAAATAATAATGAAAACGCATAGGATAAAAAACATAATAAGTTTTTAAATAAATAATGTAAAATATAAGACAAATACTATATATTATGAGGTAAAAATATTTATTTATATATATAAATAGGTTGGGTAAGACTTCTTAGTCTAGTGGCATTGGCAGGTTTAGGTGAGCGAGATTTAGGTGGGAGATTGCGAGTTCAATCCCGTATTGTATATAAAAAAAAAAAAAAAAAACATTGAGTGGGTTTGGGTTAATTTGGTTTAATAAAAACTCAACTCAAATCCATCCAATTAAGATTCGGGTTGGGTGAGGTGAGTTTGGGTTGATCTCTTGATCGAGTTGGTCGGGTTCAAGTTATAATGGGTTGTGTGGGTGGGTTAATTGGGTTTGCGGATTGTCAAGTTTTTTGTTAACCCTTAGGGGGCGTTTGGTATGGGGTAATCATAAGGAATCATATTCTCAGGAAAGTAATGGAGGGTAATATGATTTCTAGGAATAATACATTATTGTGTTTGGTTCCATACAAGAATCTTTCTCAAATTCCTAGGAATATTACATTACTGTGTTTGGTTGTGCATCGGAATGTTGTGAATTAAAAAATATTTTTTTAAATGAATAATAATAATAATAATAATTATTATTATTATTATTACTACTATTATTATTATAATTATTATTACTATTATTATAATAATAATAATTATTATTATTATTGTTATTATTATTATAATAATAATAATTATTATTATTATAATTGTTATTATAATAATAATAATTATTATTATAATAATAATAATAATAATAATTATTATTATTATTATTATTATTATTATTATTATTATTATTATGAGATTCCCATGATTTTGAGATTTCTGAGAATTTGAATAACACCTTATTGGGTGGGATTAGGATTACCCCAAAATGGGGTAATGTGAAACCCATGGGCTTCACTTTCTTGGGTTTTAAAAAAGTCTAATAATTGTACTAAACATGAGAATCTGAAAGATTCTCATTCCCACTCCTATGATTACCCCATACTAAACGCCCCCTTAGTTCTTAATAGAATTGAGTGCATAATTACACTTCTACCCTCTTAATGAGATTATCCCCATTTTTATTCTTTCATTCCCCATTTTCAATCATGCTTACAACAATGGAAATACGAAGATGCGAATCAACCATGTGCAGAGTGTAAATAGGGAAATACAAAGATGGGAATCTAATGTGCAGAGTATAAATAGTGGTGATAACAATAATTTTATAAGAAAACCCATCAAGATCGCATAGTCAGACAAATTTAGCAAGTATTATTAAGAGAAACTCAACAAAAATAGAAAAAGCAAACTTACTGTCAATAGGATTCATATCACCATTATTTATCTATGTTGCAGCCATTAGGAATGATTCAACGTGTTTCTCACAGTGAAGCTTTAATTTCTTTTAATTTTTCAATTTTTTGGGCAAACTTCTAACCCTAAAAACTCAAGCGTCTAAAGTTAACCTTTATTTTGATTTTTTCAAACGCTTTCATTCATGACCTAAGTCTTTTGCAGAACATTATATGATAATTCCCTCTTTATATGGGTCATATGCTTTTTATGTGACAAATTTTGTCATTTAATGTAACAGTAAAAGTAAAATTGTTAACAAAACAAAGTATGAGAGAACAAATATTACTTTTAAAAGTTTGGAGGACAAAGTGTTATAAAAGTTAGTTCGAGGTGATTTTTATAATTAATTCTTTTTTAAGTGTGTGTTTTTAGTTTATTCTTTTCTTTACGTATTTTTTACCCATTTCTTTGTTTTTAAGATATTTGATACTGTGTAGTTTAGAACTTTATCAATTTGATACTTTGTGAAGAAGAATAAGATTGGGACATTTTGGTTGCGTTTGGAATCGGTTTTAAAATGATTTTATTTTCTGTATGAAAATAGAAATGAAAACGTTTTCATTTTCATTTTGAAATTATTTCTGAAAATACGTTTGATAGTTTTATTCAAAGATTGATTTTAATTTTAAGAAAAACTGAAACTGCGTTTGGTGGTTTAATTTTTAAAAATATATAATAGTATTTAAAATAAAACCAATTCCCACTCTCTACAGTAGTCACTACAAATTAAATCCCAAAAATCAATTCACTTCTAGAAAAATCTTAAAAATAAAAATAAAAAAAATAAAAACTTTTTCTTAATTTGAAAAACGACAACAAAACATCAAACTGACCAAAGCTTCCCCCATTTCGTACAAACACCCCCAGTCTATAAAGTCCTCACAAGTCACAACTCACAACCCCATTTTAGGTCATATTACTATTTCTATCACTATTGCCAAAAAAAAAAAAAATCCCATCTGCATTTTTTGGAGTTTTTATGTATTTGTGGAAGTGGGTTTTTCTTTTTGCGGCATTTTTTCCAATACCCATTTGAGTTAAGGTGATTATGGCGGCGGCGGATGAAGTTCTCCGGCTAAAATTACCAGAAAATGTTGAAGTTTCCGGCGACTCGCCGTCAGAGCTTCATGTTCTTGCGGTTGATGATAGTCTTGTGGACATAAAGGTAATTGAGAGAGAGACTGCTTAAGATCTCGTCACGACTTGTTTTTAAAGCAAATGGTTAAAAGCTGAGATTCTGAGGCCCCCCCCCCCCCCCCCCAAAAAAAAATTTCACCGCGTGGTGGCGGACACCGACAGACGGTTGCCGGCGTTGATGGCATACAAGAGAGGGAAGAGAACAGGAAGGAGAAATCTGAGAAAATGAAAACGACTTGAAAGCGTTTTCAGAAACGTTTAACTTTTTGGGATAAATACCAAACCGTTTTCATTTTTCGTTTTTGTACGATTTCCTCCAAACACGATATTCAAAGTATTTTCATTTTTCTCTTCTTGGAAAACGTGAAAAACGTTTTCAAAAATGAAAACAAACAGGTTCTTTGAATTTGAATTATTTATATCCGTTATCTATTAGGACATGCTAGTATTTAATTTTAAATTTTAGATTATGTTTATCTCTTACGGCTCATTAGAATATTTAGTTTAGTTTATCTTGATATTTTTATAATTATGATTGATTAATGAATATTGAGTCTTTAATTTTCTTATCTTGAATTTTAACTCTATTTTTCTCGTACGGTTTTAATTCTCGTTTTAATTGTCTCTTATTTAATTCTTTTGATCTATCTCAGTCCTACATCACAATGTGTTTGAAATTTTGTTGCCATGCATAGTTAGTAAAAAATATCTTATATAGATACCATTATCTCTTTTTTTTTAATTCAAATGTAACGCAAATATTTTAATTTCTTAACTTTTAATCCCTTAAATCTAATAAAAAATTTGAACAAATTTAGTAAAAGGTGGACATTGCAATAACTTTATGAGTTCAAGGTTGGTTGCTAAAATTAAAAGTTTAAGAGACAATTTACTAAATTACGATAAGTTTGGAAAGCAATTGTGCTAAAAAACCTACTTAAGAAGGTAAACATGTTACTGCAACTAAATCAATGAGTATTTATTTATTTTTTTTAAAGTATTTAGGTATTTTTACTTTTTCAAAAATGTAAAATGTAGGTCATGAATAGTAAATAATAACAAAATAAAATATTAGCATGGTTGGTCGTGATTATTGTGACTTAGTTTTATTTTTTTGACAGCTTTTACCTTTAATCATAAAAGTTATATTAAATTTTTGTAATATAATAAAATTAAAAATGTAAGTTTAAACTGAACTACACAGCCAGGTCAGCCCGGCCTTAATCTCTTGGCCGGATCAAACTGGGCCAATATTCAAGACACAATAAATATATGGAAAATAGTAGAAAATATGCCAATATGAAAAATTTAAGAAAGTATATAAGTTAATTTTTAGTTATAGAAATTAATAGATCATAACTTGTCAAGTTATGGTTCATAACTAGATAAGTTATGAATAAATATGTAAAGTTATGGTTCATAGTCAGACAAGTTATGGACAATTATGAACAATAACTTATCAAGTTATGGTTTATAACCAAACAAGTTATGGACAAAAACAATAATTTAGCCTATTTATTAACTTATGTAAATTATTGATCTATTAATTTTAATTCATCTCAAATTTTAACCTATTTCCTTCTTTCTCTCCAAAAATATATATATATATATACATATATTATATTCCCGGCCCTAATCTCTTGGCCGGATCAAACTGGGCCAATATTCCAGACACAATATATATATTTTCAGGTCAGGAAGTGCTTTCACTTTATTATTTTATGAAAATGGTTAAACTCACCCTCAAAGATATAGATATGAAATTTTACCTTTTATTCTTAGCTAATAACTTTTTATTAATATAGTTCTTTAATTAAAAATATTTTAATTAAAAATAAGAGTAAAAATTTAAACTCATACACTTTAAAACATATTTATATCTTTAAATTTTCTTTGTAAAAGTCAGGCCGGCTTGACCCGACTCTAAATCTGCTGAATTTTAAGGCTGAAGTGGCTCAATTTTCTTCGTTTTAGGATTGAACCAGGCAATCTAAACTTTCAGCTCTGAATAAAAATAAGCATATCTTTATTGAATGATAACAAAACATTTTACTGATATAATTATAAATATCTTTACTGCCCTTGAAAAATTAGAATAATTTTTTGTACTTAATATAATTATTTACGTAAGATTGTTAATTTTTATGTTTTGGAGATAAGATTTATTTTTGAAATTGATAATGTGATGTTTTTAATAAAATTTCAGAAATTCTTTTGAAAGGACTACTTTGTTTGTTTGGTTTTGGTTTTTTATTATTTAAGAAAAGGTTGAAGATCAAATGAGACGATTATCATCGTTTTAGGCCCTGTTCATTTCACCAATTCGAGTTTTGCTACAGTAAAAAGCTCTCACAAACAATCACATCTAACTTTTTTACTACAGTAAAAAATTCTCACATAAAATCACATCTCAACTCGAATTATAAACTCGAATCTGCGAAGTGAACGGGCCCACTAGTGCCTTTAGGAAATAAAAAAAAAAAATAAAAAATTAAATAAATAGTGCCGAGTCTCTTCTCCCAACAGAATTTAAAAAAATAAACGACGTCGCGTTTGAAGGAATAATTTTATCTTTCTTTATCAGAGAGCATTATACCACCGTCTGCTCAAAAACCCTAACCCTCTATTTTCCAGCTTACCAAACAAACACTTAGGCCTCTCTCTCTCTCTCTCCTCCCACAACCCAATTTTCCCAGAGAAAAACACTTCTCTCGGGAAAAATCCAGGAGAGAAAGCAGAGCTTACGCAACCAATCATGGCTTCTCACTCGCCGAATCTCGAGTGCCGCATGTACGAGGCCAAGTACCCGGAGGTGGACATGGCGGTGATGATCCAGGTCAAGAACATCGCCGACATGGGCGCCTACGTCTCCCTCCTCGAGTACAACAATATCGAGGGCATGATTCTCTTCTCGGAGCTCTCCCGCCGCCGGATTCGCAGTGTCAGCAGCCTGATCAAGGTCGGACGCATCGAGCCCGTCATGGTCCTCAGGGTCGACAAGGAAAAGGGCTACATCGATTTAAGCAAGCGTAGGGTTTCGGAAGAGGATATTCAGGCATGCGAGGAGAGGTACAACAAGAGCAAGCTCGTTCACTCGATTATGCGCCATGTTGCTGAGACGATGGGCATCGATTTAGAGGTATTTAGTTTTTGAATCTTTGCTGCTATTCTAGGCATAATTTGGATTTTTATGGTTTGGCTGTGTATTTGGGGATTTATGCGTGCTGACGAATTTCTCTGTTCAATAGCAAGAATAATGCATGTATAAAGTATTGCATAAGCAATTAAAGAATAGTTTATAGTATTGCATTGCGTATTTAGGTTTAGAATGTTGAGGAATTTAAATAATTTTATTGGAGAGGAGTGAGGGATTTCCGGCTTGGTTGCTCGGAGAATTTGGAGAAAACTCAGATGGATATTGGTTTATATTGCTTCAATAGCAAGAATGTATGTGTTGATAAGCAATTTATGGAAAGTTTATAGGATTACTTTAGGTATTTGGAGTTTTAGAATGTTGAGGAATTTGGTTAATTTTATTGGAGAGGAATGTGATGGGATTTTCGGCTTGGTTGCTCAAAGAATTTTGGGGGAAATTCAGGTGGATATGGTCCTCAAATCAGCATGCAAAGATTGCTAGAATGTATTTGTTGGAGTAGGAATTTAAGATCACTTTGTGGGGTTTCTTTGGAATCATGTATACGTGATAAGGAAGAGAGAGTTTATTGTCGCAGGATATCAAACTTGTGAATTTTCTTCTTCCTTGTAACTTGTTTATGTTTAACTTCTAATAACTATAGAGGTTCTCTCCTATCCAATTAGATTTGCATTATTAGAATTCCTTGTTGTTGAATTAGTTTTATCTGCCCGCGTTAATGGCAATGCCACGTGACATGTATGGGTATAAGCTGGTTAATTGATGAATGATTGAATGTTTCTAATGATTTTGGTCCAATAGGGCCCTTTTTTTTTCTTGTTCTTTTAACTGCCTCAGTTGCTCGGTTATTCCTATATTCCTTTACTTAAAGTTCTGATTTTCTGCACCCCTTTTATATCCCATTAAAGCCTTAAAATGATTTTCTCATGCAGTACCTTAAACCTTTGAAAGTTTTATGCTTAACCAACTTGTTGAGTGGGTACTGGACTACTTATACTTGAATTTGTGTTCCTTTTTCTTTCGTTTTTCCTGAGTTCATTTGACGTGTCACAGGATCTGTACATCCACGTTGGCTGGCCTTTATATAGGAAATACAGTCATGCTTTTGAGGTGAGGATTATACTTCAAAAGTTGTCAATGTCATTATTTTTCTAGGTCGCGGTGATGAATATTAGTTATTAAATTTTCAGGCCTTCAAAATCATTGTGACTGATCCTGATTCAGTTCTCAATTCCCTTACACGTGAAGTCAAAGAAATCGGCCATGATGGGCAGGAGGTAAAACTGTTTTACACTCTCTTATGCCAAATTTTCTTCTGATTGTGACTAAATTCATTTTCCTCCTTCTCTTGTAGGTGACTAAGGTGGTTCCTGCAATGACGGAGGAGGTTAAAGATGCTTTAATAAAGAATATTAGGAGAAGAATGACTCCGCAGCCTTTGAAAATTCGGGCTGATGTTGAAATGAAATGCTTCCAGTTTGATGGTGTTCTTCACATTAAGGTCCTTTTGCGCTCTTTCATTACTTCTCATTATTTATGTTGTTGGCTTATACTTCCAAACTATCATGCATTTTTTTTTTTTTCACGGTATTGTTAAGTGGTCCCATGGTGTCTTACATTTATTCATGTCTGCCTATATCTGCAGGAAGCTATGCGGAAAGCTGAAGCTGCAGGCAACAATGACTGTCCTGTCAAGATTAAGCTTGTTGCTCCTCCACTTTATGTTCTGACCACTCAGACTCTTGATAAGGTTAGCTCAAACAGTAATATAAATTGTCAGTGAATTTCCATTTTATGCATTTTTTGCACTGCTGCAAATCAACCTCCACATCATTCTGAAGATAAATATGGATCTCGTATGTCTTGTATATATTATATATATAGATCTTTTAGGTTGTCAAATTGGCGGCCAAGAAAATTCTGAGTTGTCATGTTTGAACTTTGGAGGCCTGAAAAACTTTTCAAATTTCCTTTTAATCATTTGACAAATAGAACCAAACAAAAAAGAGGTGTTATGGACACATTTTTTTTTTGTTGCATGGTCGTCAGGTCCTTTTTGTTGTCTTTTTTTTTTTTCCCCTCTTTCTATTGCATGTGAAACTAAATTATTTGGAAAATTGTGCACGATCTTCTATTGTGAACCGAGCAACATGGTTATTTTGGCACAAGGTTCCAAGTTTTCGTTGTAGCATCGAATTCTTTGTTAAATTTGGTCAATATATTCTTTTCTATGTTATGATTCCTTCCAATTCCCGAACTCAGAGGCAGTTGTGTGGTTCCATAATAGTCTGCTGTTGGAGGCTCTTTCTAACTTTGTTTTGATTTCTAACGTGGACAGGAACAAGGGATAGCAGTTCTAAACAATGCGATCATAGCTTGCACCCAAGCTATTGAACAACACAAGGGGAAACTTGCTGTGAAGGAGGCACCCAGAGCCGTGAGTGTCAATTTTTGTATTTGCCTTTTGTTCTATAACAGATCGTTTTTATTTTGTTCTGAATATACATATCCGGATACATAGTTGAACGCAAACCTATCTGCAATTATCTCTGGTTCAAAACAGAAGAACTTTGTTCTTCGCACCACGACACTGTTTGTTTTGGATATTCATACGAGTAATTGACCAAACGTGCATTGATGCAGGTGAGCGAAAGGGATGATAAATTACTTGCTGAGCATATGGCTAAGCTACGACAGGACAATGAGGAGGTCAGTGGTGATGAGGACAGTGAAGAAGAGGAAGACACTGGAATGGGAGAAGTTGACGTGGAAAACGCTGGTACTGGGATCACAGAGTGAAAAAAGAAGCCCCCCAGATATTGACAATAGTTTTCTGAGCATTTTTTTTCCTCCCTAGTTTTTACTTGCTTTTTTGACCGTTGTATAAAAACCGGTGATGAGGAATTATATCGTTGAGGTAATCTGCGAATATACTAGCTTTCGTGATGGTCGGTTCATGGCCTTATTCATTCGGGATGACATACATTTACATTTGTGGAAACTCTCTCTCTCTCTCTCTCTCTCTCTATATATATATATATATATATTTGATTGTCTTGCCCAATAAATATTGTAGATTAAAAATTTACGACGATATAAATTGGCTCTCGACACCACTTGGATTCGTAGGCTTTACTCGCTTTTTGAGCATTTTTAAATATCTAAATAAAAAGCCTTTTGAACGAGACGTTTGGTTTATGAATTTAAAATTATAATTTAGAACTATTCTTATTTTATGTGTGTTTTTTTTTTAAAAAAAATACTGTAAAGAGTTACGAATCATGATTCAAACTATTAAACGAATTAACGAATTCATCTTCTAAACGCACAATTCGTGACCAGAGTTTTGTACTTGTACGATTCAAGTCGTTTTCAGTAAATATAGACTTGCAACACGGCTGTTTCTTTGCCGTTTATTTGTTTGGTGAAAGCTCAATTATCAGAAGACTATTAATTGCCACTTATTCAAACTTATATTAAAGTACTTGTTCATACTTCAATTTTAGGGTAGATGCAGGCCTTTTATACAACTCTCAGAAAGCACTAGTCGAGTAGAAAAACAGTCTGATTCGTCTGAATATGTTCGTGGCCTTAGTTTGGTATCGCTTTTCTCTTCTAAAATCGCTTCTGCTTATAACAGAAGCTAATTTTAATGTTTGGTAAATCTCTTCAAAAGTGCTTTTTAAAATTTTTTTTAAGAATCTATAATTAAAATCAGAAACAGTCTAAAGACAACTTTAACTTTTAAATTGTGCATGAATTATCATAATACAATTAATGAAACTTTCATAATACCCATAATACCCCTAATGAAATTTAAAATTTACAATCTTCCTCATTTAAAAGTCAGACTCATAATATAATATAATATACTAATAATATTGTAACAAATAATATCATAATTATATTAATAACTCTAATATTATTAGTTTATCATATAATATGATATTATAATTATAATATGATATTGTAATTATTATTTTATAATATATTATATTGTTATATATTATGATGTATTACACACGTTATGGTTATATAATATATTAATTATAATATATTAATTTAATATAATATAATAATGATTATATAATATAATATATTATAATATAATATAGTTGTAATTTTTAATTATGTAATATTATAATATATTTTATAATATTGTACTTATATTAATCATTTTAATGATATTATTATATTATGTATCATAATTATATAATATGTTATTTAATACTAGTTTTATTGTATTATATTAAATATAATAATAAATATACATTATATTGTAATTATATATATTATATTAGTATAATATAATATAATCATTTTTTAAAATTATTTTTGTTATTATTTTAATAATATTATTATATTCTATATCATTATAATATAATAATAGTTTTTTATATTATATTAAATATAATAATAAATATATATTATATTGTAATTATATATATTATAATATAATATAATATAATCGTAATTTTTAACTATTCACAGCAATTCAACATAATAATTTATCAAATACTATTACACTGATTTTGAAACTAGCACAACTATTATAATTATAATTTATTAAACATTCATCTGTTTTTTATAACAAATGTTTCTTCTTTCAGTATAGCTAAAAGTAATTTTTTTAAAATTGACAGTACTACCAAATTAAGCCTTTGTCTAATTCTCACCCTTTAATACAAAAAGTACAGTATCAAAACTCCTCCAACTTCGAGTTACTAAACATATTTCAATCATATAAGTAATTTGTGAAAATTTTCGGTCGTGGGAGAAATACGCTATGAATAACAAATGTGAAAATGACAGCAATTGAACAGACGACAAACTTTTGGACTTGTGACAATTGACAAAGAATCAACGGGTCTTCGTAGCTTTTTTTTTTTTTTTACTAATTGTATGATAAGAAGTTATCATAGTACAATAAACATTCAGTATGAATTTACAAATTAAGGAAAATATCCATTACCAAAAGGGTAATCTTGATAAATTTCTTTTGAAAGTGTATGAGTCAGGATTTTTACCTTTTACTCTTGATTCATAATCTTTTAAGTCAAATAATTACATTAACAAAAGAGTATTAATCAAGAATAAAAGGTAAAAGTCTAAACTTATGTACTCGGTAAATTCTCTATTTTTTCTTACCAAAAAGAACTTATAGACGGTTCAAAGATATTTATAACACATTGTTTTAAACAATCCTGATACAAAGACATTGTTTTAAACAATATGTGTCTCAATCTATATCCACTATCCCAATATTTCATTATCTGTAAAAAAAAATAAAAAATAAAAAATAAAAAAAATTTGTGAGTTATCCTAGTTGCATACAAGTACACGTTTGAAAATCTTATATCCACCATATTCACCCTAAGTATGTCTCGTGTTGAAAATATAAAAATTGTGCATGTGAGGTTTATTTGAAGAATGATAAGGTTGAGCCCCGCTTCACCATCATCTGAGCATGTTGGCTCTTTTGTTTTCCTTTTTATTTAGTTTTAAATTTATGTTTTGAAAATTTTACATAATTAATAGCTCAAATAATATCTAAATACTAATTATTGAGATTATTTTTGGTATTTCAAAAAGTTTGACTAGTTAAAGAGTTATTTTTCACCCTTCTGAAAAACGTAATGGATAATCTTGCAATAGTTTAAAGATATATGAGATACCTTTTAAATTATAAAAAACCCAGCAGTATACGTAGGATTTTGCTAAAGGTTAGGGGTTACTTTTCGGATTCTCACTCAAAAATTGATTAGAACAGAAGAGGTAAAATAGTAATTTGAAGTAACATATCAACATTTTATAATTAGTACTCAAAAAACTGGAAAAGAAAAAAGATAGAAAGGAAATTGGATTTAGATGTTAAAAACAAACTTTCAGGGATCGATGGTATTTATGTAAATCTTCTCAACTAAGCTGAGAAATTTATTAAAATAACTATCTAATAAAATAAAATTAGTAAAATAATTTTCTTTATTTTTTATGAAGAACGATCACCTGGTCGTTTTTTTATAAAAAATGGTCGTTTCTAATTATTCCGTAATCATTTTATAAATAAAAATTTTTAAAAAGTTATTTTACTAATAAAACTGTCTTAATTGAGTCATTTTTACAAAGCTTCAGCCAGGCCAACCGGGTTTCGTTTCATTCTTGCAGCCCCGTCCTTCCCCTTTTTCTCAGACTCTCTCTTTTGTTCGAAGCCAAATTAGAGTCGAACTTTGATTTCAGGTAGAGTTATAGCTAAAGTAGGACGTAGTCGTATTTAAAAAGAGCTTATAGCCAATCAGATTGCGATTATAGAAACAGATAGCTGAAGAGGAAAAGAAAAAGGGAAAAGAGATAGCAGTTTACTGTATATATATTGACTTGACTGAAAAATTAAGAAAGAAATATCTTGAAACTAAGGAGAGAGAGGAAAATAAGTTAAGACTTGAGATGAATTAAAATTAATAGGTTAATAGTTTATATAAGTTAATAAATAGGCTAAATTACTGTTTACGTCAATAACTTGTCTGGTTATGAACCATAACTTGACAAGTTATTGTCCATAATTGACGGTTTTTATCCATAATTTGTCTGATTATAAACCATAACTTGATAAATTTATCCATAACTTATCTGGTTATGAACCATATCTTAACAAGTTATGACCTATTAATTTCTATAACTAAAAGTTAACCTATATACTTTCTTAAGCTTTTTATATTGACATATTTTTTACCATTTCCGTTCAAATTATTTGCGCTAATATACTTTAAAAAGAATGTCAAGTGCATGTGCAGTAACTAATCAATGAACAACTCTTTTTTTATAGATATACTAGTTTAAGTGTGACGACCCTCCTATGAGGCCGCCACTGTAACTTAAACTTTAACTTGTACTTACTGGGGTTTCTTAAAATTTGCGGAACATTTTTTTTTTTTAATATAAGAAAGAATACTTTCATAATTTGTAACAATAATTTCAAATAAGTGAATCACTAAATTTCTTAAAGCTTTTCTTAATTTCAGTTAAGATAAAACGTTCTAAAAATATCTTTCAAACAGAGCAGCATTTGAACTCCTATTTCAAATACTCTTTAAAAGCCTTTCTAAAACTAGCCAATTCAATCAGGCCATTTAATTTTGACTTTAAAACGGATTTCGTGAGAAATCTTAAATTCAAGTACATCTTAAAGCCCTTTTAAAATCAATCATTTAAATCGTCATGTTTAAAATTTATTTATTTGTTGCATGCTCTGTTGCAACGTTCTAAAACTTAAATACTCAAAACGAGGGTTGTTAGCTACAACCTCGGTTTCTTTAACATACATATGTACCTATACTTTTTAAACATACATGCTTGAAACCTTTAAATCATATATACATATACATGATTTTTCTTAAACTTACTGCGGAAGATAACTGCGTGAGCGGTATCCATTCCCATCTCCACCATTCGTCCGCCGCTTGCCATTGCCCTTCAAGAATTGCTGATAGGTTTCTTACCTACAGCATGAACATATCTGATTGAGCTTTCGCTCAGCAAGTAGGAACTATATCTCACAAAATAACTGTAAGTACACATGAATAAATATGCATGAGCTGATTATGCTTAATTATGATGTCTTATCATAATCTTATTATCTTATCTTATCTTTCTTACTGATGGGCCCGAGTGCTCGCGTACCACTTGCGCGCAATCATCGGAACGTGAGGGTTTGCAAGGTCCCCCACGACACCGTGATTATAACTTGAATGCCTCCCTTAAGTCGGAGGACATTATTGTTATTTTCTTTTTCTCCCTTGTGGAGCATGAGTTACCTCCCTTGTGGAGGCTGGTACGGCACTCAACTGATA